TTTTTTATTAAATATTTTTATTTTTTACTTTACTTTTAGGGGCTTTGGGGAAATATTAGGGGTCTAAACAGACCCCTGATATTTCCCTTTAAAAAAAAAAAAAAGAGATTGAGGACACAGAGTCCTCAATCTCTTTTTCTGTATCCCCTGTTATCAATGAACAGGAATCCTTTATGAGTGTTCCTGTTCATTCATAGTATGTTTACTATCAAGCAGTAGATATAGGCAAACAGTTAAAAAAAACCCGCTTTAATAGCGGATTAAACTTACCTTATTTTGCTGCGCACTCCCGCCCGAGAAAACGAAACTGTTCGTGTGGCCGCAAAGCATCTTGGGGCGGGCGCATGCGCAGTTTGGATTTTCGGCCGGGAGACGAGCAGAGACGCAAGGTAAGTCTATGGACGCGTGCACCCGCATGCAGACACCGTGGGATCAGAAGTGGCAGCAAGCAGAGAGGAGTCAGCGCTGGATCGGAGAGCTGCCGCACCGCTGGAGGGAGAGATAAAAACATCAGGAAAGAAGAAGAAGACCGAATTAAGAGATATCATTTAAGGTAAGTGCTGACATTAACATTGGGGGGAAGGAAACAAAATGTATCCTTTAATGTCACTTAAAAGCCTATCACTCCAGAAGAGGGTCATCCATGCACCAAATGTGGTTTACAAAGATGCATGACAGGGAAGAGCTGTGCGCTTTGTGTTTTTAGTCAAGAAGTATGACATATAGGAACCAGTGATGTCAGTAGGGGGTGCGGCCCGCACCCGGGTGACACCATTGGAGGGGTGACACCAAAATGACTGACAGTCTTTTTGGTGTCACCTCTTCTGAAAGTCGGGCACTCGGTCATGGACCGAGAGCACAACAGTTGCAGGAGAGAGGAAGGGACAAGTTATGCCGCCGAGTGAATGTCCCCTCTTCTCGCTGCCAGGATCAATCACCAAGATATCCCTATGATAAGAACCCAGAGGAAATACTCATGTCAATGGTCGGATAAGGTTGGGCTCAGATACTTCCACCACAATCACAAGTGTTCATCCCCATTGAACTACTGTGACTTGTTTAAAGTTAACCAGTGCCAAGACCAATGCTGTGCAGAAGGAGGAGAGATGAAGCGCAGCCTGCAATATGTTCCAAAGGTTGAACTTGATGGACCTGTGTCTTTTTTCAACCTCAAATACTATGTAACTATGTTAGATGGCCGCGCATGCGTGATGATGTCACATGCATGCGCGACGACATCACGGCGGGGTGTCACCCGGTACCCACTTTGGGTGGCACCTGGCCTCTGGGAAGCCCCTGATAGGAACCTTGGGTTTGCTTAGGTCCGTCAGACTTCACCTAAATGCAACATATCACGTTTCTATGAATCGAAACAACAAAGTTCAATAGTTTTACCTAGAAACTGGGATTTGAACCATAACAAAATTACCCAGGATCCAGATTATACAAGATCTTACTATTCATGGCCAGTTTTAGCAATAGACACTACACATCTTTCAGCCTTCTGGTCCATGAATATTCTCCCTGTGATCTCTTCTTTCAGATACTCCTGCTGAAGGATCCATCAGGAGGCTCTGAGGACTTCCTGCGTGCAAAGCGCTCTAGAGACAGGACGTTTGTATTTGATGCTGTTTTTGATCAGGATGCTACCCAGGTAAACGTCCCTCCAATTAATATAGGCAGGGCCGGATTTCCCACAAGGCCAACAAGGCCCGACCTTGGGGCAGCAGGCAGCAGAGGGGCAGCAGGTGTGTGGAATTCCTATTTCCCGATGCCTGGGACTTGCAGTTCCGGGCGTCTTTTTCTACATATAGCCCTGCTTTGGGCAAGCAGAGCTAAATGTACTGCGGGGAGGCTGCCGCTTGTTTTGATATAGTCGAGATCACTTGTATGCAGCCTGCAGGTCTACCATTCTCCATACGGGGAGGGGGTTGGCGATTATGGGGGAGGCGCATTGAGGAACCTGGCCTTGGGGCAGCAGAGAGAGTAAATCCGGACCTGCATATAGGTGCACATTTTGTGTCATATCAGAATAATAGTAAGAAAAATGATTTGAGATCTGTTGCATAGTAAGCAGATCTAATGAATCTGGCACATTCTAGGTGAATCTTGAGTTGAAAATATGCATATATCAGTTTTCCCAACACCAAACATAGACACTAGATCGCAGTGTTGTCCTACAGTTTAAAAATATATTTGATGGTTTTTTGCATGCAGTGATTGCTGAATTATACAAAGATGGAGATAAGCTGTTCCTGTTATGTTCTGTTTAAATCTTTGACTGTATGCCAATAAAACTGATTGGAAATGGGAACTCTTGATGTTATTTTCAGCTTGAATATTGCAGATAATTGTTTAAAATGGCTGCAATCACTCTCTGTATAGCTTTACATTTTTAAATGTATTTGGACACTTACAGAATCAAGGAAGTATGTAGGCAAAAATAAATATAATTTTGCATAGACACTCTACACATGGACACTACTCACATAAACATTTTTCATGAAGAAACTACACTCATCTACCAATTTTAGCTGTCTGTGTTGCTCACTATCAAACAGTCAGATTACCCTTCATTAAAAAAAGTGACATTTGAAACTTGTCTTCCTTTAGCCCACACACATAAGTCTTTTTTTTCTATATGTATTAATAAATGATCTGTTAGTGACCTGTTTATTTTTACTACAATTCTATATGAGGTTCATTGTGCTGACCTGCAGATGGCACTGTTGGCTGTAAAGATAGATATAGACATGAGAGGCCAATGGTGTGAACAAACCTTTACTTAAAGGGAATGTATTAAATATATACATGGAGGAAGCCATATTTGCTCATTACATATGAAGGTTCTGCTTTCTGCGTTGCAGTGCTATACTAGGGGACATCTCCCCTAGTTCTTATCTCCATTTTATGAGGGTGTGTGCTGTAATTCACAGGGATGAATTGAGCAAGGCTGATAATACTCCTAACTTCCTGTGCGCAGGGAGAGTGTACAGGAAGTTAGGAGCTCGCTAAATACTTTGCATGATCAACAGGTATTTTTTAACTTATTGAACAGAGCAAATAAGAGAAGTTCATTGGTATGGTTTTCACACACTTTAAATATTGTGCCTGCAGTCCTATCTCATATTGGATGCTGTGCATAATATAGACAGTTTTCATATGAGGACCAAAAAGTTTTGCATTCAAACTGACCTATGATTTTAAAGAGATGGTTATGTAGTTGAAATCCCTTTATGTATGAATTAAATGCATTTATTTTAAAATTCTTTTGCATGGCAGTAACAAGAGATTGATTTTGTTTTTTTTCAGGAGCACGTCTATGAATCAACTACCAAAAACCTGGTTGATGGCATCATTAGAGGATATAATGCTACAGTGTTTGCTTATGGCCCAACAGGTAGTAATGCATCTGGATGTAAACCATATTGTATGAAGCTGTGTTCCTTCCTTTGTAGTATATGTAAACATGTGTGAAAGGTTAGCAAACAGTATTCTAAGCCTCTGTGCCTCTCCAGCTGCTGCGTGGGGGTACTAATGCCAACCGTAGTCGATTCCCCCATGCTTGATAAACAGTTTGGAGAAATCTCCACTGCCGGCTATTGTATTCAGCACCCGCAATACAGTGGCACTGCTAAACAGTGAATACATCTGATAGAATTGAGCACTGTACGGGTGATAATTTTCTACCAGCTCATTTAAATTTTGACTTTTGTTGAGCCGGATAATGCTGGCATGGCCATCAATGGCCAACTGAAGCTTTGTTATTTCACAAATGTGGCAGGAAATGCTATGGTAGGCACTTCGACCAAAGCATTTCCTGGTACATGTTATTGCACTGTCTCCTCAGTGTCCATAGGAGCAAAGCTGTTTGCCCCTGCACTGAGCACAGGGTATGTATCTTAGGCCTCCCACTTAAGAGTACCACAAATTGTTTATGTATAAAGTCTTTGTTATACAGACACACATAAAGACAATGTGGCACTTTGCCCATTTAGGAAAAAATTGACAGGTTCTCCTGAAAGTCCATCCCCACCCACCCACTGATACTCACCTTTGCTGCACTCCCCCACTTCTCCATTCCAATGGACCCCTCAAAAGTATTCAGTAACATGAGTATGTGACCTTCCTTCTAGGATGAAGTGCTTGGGCCTGAGCCGCCAATCGCTATCTCTGAACACCATTATGTGAGGGAGGGGAGAAGGTCATTAGCAATGACAATGTCCAACTCTAGACCCATGGCTGTAGCAAAGGTTTAAAGTGGCAGGGGGAGCGCAGTGAAGGTATCAGTTGAGGTGAGTGCATTATAGAGACCTTTTTTTTGCCCTAGCGACAGATTACCATTAATATAGGGTGCTACCATGACATGGTTCACAGAGCATTATGGATTGCAGAAGCTGTTTCCTTTCAGATACACTCTCTAATTCAAATGTAGCATGGAGCCATCTGAAGGTAGGGGTAGGATTCACTGACTATACTGGCAGAGATCTCATCATTTCGTTGCACCACTAATGCAAAGGTGAATGGGACCCAATGAGCTCAATGCTGATAAAGCAATTTTGACTCTCAGTTGCCTTATGTTCTTCCTGCACTTGCGGTGGGTGTGTCCATTGGTCAGGAAGGTGAAATCAAAATACAGGAGAGGTTGGCTTGAAGAAGAACGCCAGGATTGATTAAATTAAACCTTGCAGTGGGGCTACCCCCACACTGCAAGGGTTAAGTGCTCGTTTTGGTCTACAGGCAAAAATAAAGAAGATACACTCACCTGATCCTCGGTCCAGTGGCAGGGACTGCTCACCTCTCCCCCCCTCTGCTTCAGATGTCCTGTGTCCCTTGGCATCATCCCATCTAATAGACCTATATTAGATGTGATTATATTAGATGTGAGGAGGCTGCAGAGAATAGCCTAGCAGTCAGGCGGGAATGAGAATAAGGGGAGTATATCTTTTTTTATTTTAGTTCCTAGACCAAAATGAGCACTTAACCCTTGCAGTGCGGGGGTAGCCATACTGCAAGGGTTAATTATTATAAATCCCAGAGTTCTTCTTTAACTTGGCACTGCTAGTGTGGCATATTGGGTCGAGACACCCAAGCTTACAATAAAGAAGATACAATTTTTACTCCAGACAAGCTAATTTTTTTTCTTGCCCCTCCTGTCTCAGTTACAGGGACATTTGAGCAAAATAGAGTAATTAGAAGTCATATTTATTTCCAAAATTAACAGTTGTGTTTGATTAAGCCTAAATGTCTGTATGATGTTAACTTTCCACTTATCTCAGGTACAGGTAAGACATATACAATGCTGGGGATGGACTGTGAATCAGGAATATACATTCAAACTCTTAATGACCTTTTCAAAGCCATTAAGGACAATGGAAAAAGTATGGAATGTTCTGTATCCCTGTCATACCTGGAGGTAAATATAAGACTTGTGTGTGCGCACACTGTGCAGTATATATGAAATATTAACGTCAGTATGCATATACCCTCATACAGCCATTCATGTCTGTAGGCAGAGGCATGCACCAGCTGTGTATTGCGGCATGGGAAAAAATGCCAGAATTGATGTTATATGGCTCTAAATGCACCTGTATGCATGGGGCCTTAGAGTCTATACTGAGATATATATAAAGGCTGGTATGCTGAGCCCCCATCTGAAAATGCCTTAATGCAGATAATGAGTTCTGACTTCAATTTGACTTTTTATGCTGCGTGCTTGAGATGGATTAGTGACTCCATGCCATTGAATCAGCATAATAGCCAAGCAAGCTGCCTTTTGGAAGGAGAGCAGCCCACATTTTTATTTCCTTCAGTACTGATTTAGTTAAAGGAGAACTATGGGGTTAGGGCTTTTCCCCATAGTTCTCCTTAGGGTAACGGGAGGACACAAACTAGCGTCCTCCCGTCACCCTAAGCTCAGTATACTGCGAACTACAGCTTGCGGTATACTGAGACGCCACAGTATACCGCGAGCTACTGCCGCAGCTGAAGCAGATCCCGACAATTATGTCTGGATCCGCCCAGCTGCGTGAGTGACAGCTGGCTCTGCCTATCTAGAGGCAGAGCCAGCTGTACCCGCCCCCTCCCCCGTCCGATCCGCCAGTCAGCGCTGGAGGATAGGAGCAGGGAGGGGGGAATCCAGCCCCTCCCCTGTGACGGCAGAGAGCTGTGACAGGATCGAGAGGTGAGCAAACGCCGGTATGTGTTCGCTCACTTCTCGATCTACTGAGCCGACCTGTGACAGTCTCATTGTCACAGGTCGGCTAGAACTATGAGGTGAGTGAAAAGCACTCACCTCATAGTTCTCCTTTAAACTATGAAAGCTTGTTGATTTTGGTTTGTTGGTACAGGGCAGGCTGTTGCTGCTAGGTTTTGCGGTGAAGTAAGTTTAATGCTGCAGCTAACAGTAGAGCCATGTATAGGGGAAGTTGTGCTTTGCTTCTTCAATGCATTTGTGAAGCATTTTTGAAAGACCTGCAATGCAGTATTTTAACTGGATCCTATGAGGTAGCAATGGCTTGCATCTACTTGCATCATGCTTATTTGCCTGTTATTATTTTTGTGAGGAATTACAGCTGAAGTTTAATTTGCTCATATTTTGCCTTCCCATAACATCATTGGCAGGGAGAGAGATGAGTCACCATTCTTACCCATGCACTCATGTGTTTAAGTCAAAGCTTGAGCTGTTCAGCTCTGTAAACAGCAGGCTTTTGTAGCAAATCCTGGAGTCCGGATCTCCACCTGCTACTAAAATAAGAATATAAAATATTCATAGGCAAAATGTCTTATTTACCTGACTACAACAAAAAAAAGTATATTTTTAAGACCTTATAGTCCTAAACATACAAAATTAACAAATAAATTATATATTTGCTTTAATGAAATCGTGTGTTTTGTAAAATAAAAATACGCAGTCTATTTTTGCTATTTGTGCACATTTAACCACATATCCTTTAAAACACTGCAAGAAAAATATGCAATGATCCCACCAGAAATCCAATGAGCTCCTGAATTTTCCTGGTTCTCATCTATAGAACTACACTTATCCCCGACCCTGCACATGCATACATTGATTTTTTGGCTTTATTTCAAGACTGCTGCCTTGACTCCCAAGTGCCTGCACACGTTGTATGTACGGAAAGGGCCTCAGGGGGTTGGACCTACATCAGCAGAAACATGCTTTCACATTACCTTTAAGGCTATTACAAACTGCACGCAAAGCTGCGTAGAGCAAAGGGAAGCGGCGGCGTGCGGACCTTCGCATGCAGTGTGTCTTGCCATTTCTTCTTGCGCTTGTTAGCTGGCGAGCACTCGCATAGCTGAGCGCCCCAAGATGAAAAATCTCATCTTCAGCCAATCAGCTTGTGCATATAAACCTGTGCGTCAGGACACGAATTTCATTGAGTTTTCTTACGTGTGAGCCCAATTGGCTGAAGATGAAGTCTTTCATGTCGCCATGTTTAGCTACTCGAGCTCTTGCACATTGCATGCGAAAGTCAGCGCCTCGCATCTTCGATTTGCTGTTCTAGGCTTCTTATGCAGTGTGTCACAGGCTTTATATTTACATCAGTTAGTTCCTTTTATGGGATGAATGGAATCATTTAGAGCTTAGAGAGATTTCAGGTGCCTGGGGCACCTTAGTGTTGGGGGCGATGCGCTCTGTCAATATCTATGAATGTATGTTTTGGAGAGTAATGCCCAAAATGAATGTTTTTAATATTTTTCCCCAGTTTGAATATAGTTTCCTGGGGCATCTTGGCAGCACACCATAGGTTAAGGTCCGCCCCTCTTAACCCACAGAACGCGTGATTAATTTAGGCTCCTCCAAGCCACGCTCATTCTTTTTTTCTGTCCTCGCCATGGGACCATGATAGCTCAGTTCTTAAATTTTTTTTGCTCTAACCTCTAATAAATTTTATTGGCATTACCCTACCTGTGTGATCTCTAAATCCCATAGTGTGCTGCCAAGATGCCCCAGGAAAACGGAAAATTGTATACTTACCTTTCCGTAATTTTCCTTTCATGGTGCATCGATTGGCAGCACACTACTTTTTTCCCTCCCTGCCATGGCTTGGACTCTTTTTACTAGAATGAGCGCGGCTTGGAGGAGCCTAAATTTATCACGTGTCCTGTGGGTTAAGAGGGGTGGACCTTAACCCATGGTGTGCTGCCAATCGATGCACCAGGAAAGGAAAATTACGGAAAGGTAAGTATAACATTTTCCGTTGTGCTGTAATACATTATGGCCACTAAATGGAGCAGAGAAGCATAGTAAATAGACACTTACTTCCTGTGCTCTTTGGCTGCATCTACTGGCCCTAATGTTTTGGGCATTATTATCCCAAAACGAACGTTCACAATTATTTGCAAAACGAAGGGCCCTGCCAATTGTTTATAAATTAACCCCTTTGTAATGTTCAGTATAAGTCATAGGGTAAATAAGGGCTCTCTCCATTGGGTTTCTGTTAACAAGCCATTGGATAGTGAACCGGGGCATGGGATGGAGTTATCCTCTAACAACATGGCTTGGTCACTGGCAGTTCCTTCTTTTTACACACAGATTTACAATGAGACAATCCGTGACCTTTTAAGCCCTTCTGGAGTTTTGGATCTGAGAGATGACTCTAAAGGCAACATACAGATTCCCGGGATTACTGAATTTTTTCCATCTAACGTTGAGGAGGTGAGCCTAGTCAGATTCCTATGTATTACAGCCAACTAAACATCAGCCCAAGTTGCTGTTGGGGAAAATGTTACTGTACATATGACTTAAGGGAGCAATTACAAATCATGAGATCCCAAAGGAAAATTTAGGGCCGACCCCATTGATCAGTGCCCCCACTTCAGTAAAATCTTTGTGGCAAATTTTACACTCCTAGTAATAACCAGCTGCCTATAGTGCCACCTATTTATATTTACAATTCTCTGATGATTTATGGTGGCCTAGGCACCCTCCTATTTTTGCACATTTCACATTGGTTCCCAGGATAAAAGACAGGGGCTTCTATTAAAGGCCCCTTTACATTGGTGGTCCTGTAAATGCCTCTGGTAAATAAGTGTTAAAGGGTAAATGCCTCTGTTATATTAGTGGTCAGTATGGAATCCCCCCTTATCTTGGTGGGTATTGTAAATTCCCCTCAGTGGAGAAGCCCCCCTCTTAAATTGGTGGTCAGCGTAGTGTTCCCTTCCACTAGTACACCCTTACATTGGTAGGCAATGATGTGTAGGAAAGATGTCCCCATACATTGGTGGTTATTGGGAGTTAGAATGCTCCCTTACTTTGGTGGCCAGCGGGAGGAAGAATGCCCTCTCACATTAAAGGTTAGTGGCAGGAAGAATGCCCCTTACAATGGTGGTTATTGGGAGTTAGAATTCTCCGTTATATTTGTGGTTAGTGGCAGGAAGAATGCACCCTCACATTAGAGATTAGTGGCAGGAAGGATGCCCCCCTTACATTGGTGGTTATTGGAAATTAGCATGCTCCCTTATTTTGGTGGCCAGTGGCAGAAAGAATGCCATTTCACATTAAAGGTTAGTGGCAGGAAGTATGTCCCTTACATTGGTGGTTATAGGGGGTTAGAATTCCCCCTTTATATTTGTGGTTAGTGGCAGGAAGAATGCCCCTTCACATTAGAGATTAGTGTCAGGGACAATGCTCCCCTTACATCTGTGGTTAGTGGGAGGAAAAATGCCTCTTACAGTCTCACCAAAAGCAAGATAATTGGTGTTACTGGTTACTTACCTGAATCAGAGGAGCTGTGATGCACTGATGACACTAATGCTGTCCCTGCAAAATTATTATGCAAAGAGAAACTGCATGTACTCTGAACAATGGCCCGGGCTCGGGGCAATTAAAAAAGTATGGGTGGCAAGTGAGGAGACCTGTGGAGGGTTGTGCTCAACCCCACCCTCCAGACTCCTCCTGCTCCCAGGGGTCACAACTGCTGTAGTGATATTTCCTCCTCTGAGATGAATTAAAATCTATAATCTTTGGTATTTTTGTTACAGGCCATGGCCTTGGTGCAAAGAGGAAACAAACACCGAACACAGGAACCAACTGCAGCCAATAAGACATCTTCCAGGTCCCATGCAATACTCCAAGTCCTTGTGAAAAAAAACAGCAAGTTGAAAAATCAGGATGAAGCACGATTGGGCAAGCTATTGCTGATAGACCTGGCAGGGTCAGAACGGGCATCACAGGTACTGTTAGAAGTGTCATCTCTTTAAATGGACAAAGGTATGCGTTAAAGCTTTGTGCATTGGGGTGTTTTTTAAGTTGTTATGTCTCAAGAAGAAAGAATGACAGGAAAATTAAAAAACCTACAATACATTTGTTATTTTTTCACACTCATTAGGGCAGAACTCAATGCATATTTAAAAAGGAGAATACAGTTATGTATTTATAAAAAGAATATTTTTAAATGCTGCTAGTGTAAGTTCAACATTTGCCTTGATAATAATCTCCCGTAACCCCTATACAGCGGCACTCCAACTGGGAGAAGTCTGGCACTACCAGCCAATTAGAGTCCTATGCTCATGTGCTGACTGGAAGATATAGCAGAGTGAGCAGAAGGATGACTGCATCAGTGTCCTGCTACTCATTTCATCAGTTTGAGGGTGCAGTTTTCTTTGTATTTAATGCCCAGCTGTTGAGATTGGAAGGAGGTGGCAGAGCAGAGGTGAACACCTCAGAATCATATATACAGGCTCAACTAACTGCAGCACTGGCAGTGACATACTACAAGCACTTGGGTGCATGTTGTTTGAGGCAGGTGTTCAGATTGTATATAAAAAGGTCCAAAGGTGTAACTAGAAACCTCAGGGCCCCAGTGCAAGAGACCATGAGC